TTTTCAGCAAGAGTTGTCTTCACTGAACCTGAAGAAGAGGTTCTAGTGGTATTCTTCACTTTGACTGTTTTAGCAGCCTTTGTGGTTAATTTCACCGAAGTTGATTTATCAACACAGGCTACTTTCTTGCTTAAAACTAGTGAACCAATCTTAGCGATAGAAGGACACTTACTGGCAATATGTGTATTTTCACCACAGTGTTTACACTTCCTAAAGACAAATGATGCTTTAGGGCCAGGAAGTATTAGATTGGAAATGAGACCAGCTCCAAGAATACCCTTCTCATTTGTTCTGGGAGGAAATTTTGAGGAATTGGATTCTTTAGGTGACAGATTCACCTTGAGCTGTAACTTAGATTTCTGAAGAGGTTTAGATTTCTTAGTCCCTGAAGAAGAAGTTTTGCAAGCTGAAGGAATAGAAGCTGAAGGAATAGACTTGTTTGACTTCTTAGAAAGAGATGTTGTGACAATGGTTTTACCTTTGTCTTTGCATCCTGAACTCAAAGGAGTTCCTTCAAGATGACTCTCAGAGAAAGAAGAGAACTGAGAGGAAGAAGTGTTGGGAATGGAAGAGACAAAAGTACCAAACTTAAGCATGGACTTGTCAACATCAACACTACCTTCCTGATCATAGGAAAATCCTAGACCAGTCTTTGTCTTAAATAGTTAATTTGATACTAATATTGATATATTTTTGTTAAATTTTTATGATATCTTCAAACATAAATTTATTCAAAAATAAAAACATCATCGCTTTCTCAAAATCACATAAAGTCATATTATAACATCAGATGAGATAAAGAATAAAATGAAATATTAAAATCACGATGTATCTCGCTGCATTGCGCGAGCACGCTTCTAGTTAGTTAATAATATTAATTGTTTTAAATTAGTGGCTTAGGATGAATCTCATGGATCTCAAATATTTTGGAGTTCTTTAATGATTAAGTCTATATATATTCAAAGAGAGGGGCAGAAGTTCAGGGGAAAAGTCATAAAAATAAAAAAAAACTAAGAAACACATTGGTAACCGTTTATTTAGACGGTATTCACATATGCATAAAATAATTAAGGTTTTTTCTTGGTTTTTATGATGTGTGCATGTTACTTATATGCACATGTGCATACCAGAAATTGCTTATAGATTACTTATATGCACATGTGCATACCCTCCAGATGACAATTACGAAGGTGTTCCTTAATTTTCATTTTTTGTGGTTTTCTCCTGAAGCTGGCCCTATGTGTGCGTGTGTGTGTATGCATACCTTATCAGAAGTCCCCTACTCAGAGGACCATATGCTATTGGAGCTGGAACCAGAGTATTGTTCATCACGTGTTGTAGATCGTATGGCGCACCGAACCCAAAGATCCTCCCCTTCTTCACTCCTCCGACATCCTCCGTCCATAGATTTACGCCTCATAATTTTGGCTGAGAAGCCATGTGCTCCTGAATCTTACTTTTGGATGGTGGACTGCTGATGCCGAGAATACACTTGCAAACATGGTAAGAACAAAAATCAACATCATAAAACACTTGTAAATTGAACATATCCACAATAAATCAAGTCTAAAGTTTGCACAACAATTGGCAACCCAAACTATGTTAAATACTTTATAACTACGTTATGACCCATTAAGGTCCATTATGACTTAATTATGCCTAATATGACTGATTAAGCTCTGACAAGACCCATAAGTTTTATTATGAATTAGTTAACCCTAATATTACTCATTAAGGTATGGTAGGTTATGTTCGCACCCTTAGACTTATAAAAGGAACCACAAAGCAAGTATACAATATGGTCTAATGTCGTCTTTTCCAAGTATCAAAGTGGTGAAAAATACCGAGTATCGTCCGCAAGTATCGTAGTAAAACCTTAATAAAAGTATAATAAAAGAGATGATTTCAGATGATGAAATTGAAGACTTCGGTTGGATCTGAGTTAACAATTATGAAATAACAGAATATAAAAGGGTAGCATGAGTGTAAGACTTGTGGTGAGATGAAAAAAAAATTCCAGCAGATAATGTTGTATGAATGCTACATCAAGCAGTAGGCTATAACTAGTTCCACCATATATTTTTGAAGGTATTCCTCTCGGATTTCCACCATTGCACTATATTAGCTTTCAACCCATATCTCTATGTGGTACCCGGACCAGGGATAATGTTGAAATGGTGTCTTCAAAATATAGGGATAAACGAATCTCTTTGTTAAAAATTACGCTTTCGAGCCGATTCCCATATCATTCAAGTTGGCGTGTGTTCTAGGTAGTTCATCTCTGAAACAACCGTACTTTAACACTTTTAACAAGCGACCAACCTGTCGAGAATTAGTTAGTTTGAAAGATATAAATGACAAGTCTACCTGTCGGCAACTTTCTCAAGTCTACCTCTCATATCATTAAAGTTGACGTGCATTTAATGGTTTATCTTAAAAAATATGACATTATAACACTTTCAAAGTGATCAACTCATCAATAAGTGTCATTAGTTTTTATAAAAACTTAAATGAAATAGTGGAACGTTGTTATTGGGAAACAACGTTCACTTTTCTTCGGTTTAACATCTCACTATTTGTCTCACACCCAAGCTAATGGAATTAGCTAGTCATTACAGAAAGTAAATGCCAAGAAATATAAAGAACATGAAATAAAGACATAAATATAAATGACCGAAAGTAAATGACGGAATGTAAATGACGGAATGTAAAGAGCAGAAAGTAAATGACAAAGAAAGTAATAAAGTAAAGACAAGAACAATGCTGTAGCAATATATCTTAAAGAACACTTTTTAAAGAAATTCAAGAACTAACTTGAATATAGAGAGTAATTTCAGATCTGAATCTGATTAAGGGATATC